GTATAAAGAATTACGGGAAATTTATGGGACCAAAACTCCAAAATCTACTCCAATAAGATACGAAGATTTACAACATATGAATTACTTGGAAAATGTCATTAAGGAAACTATGAGATTATTTCCTATTGTTCCACTAATTGCGCGGAAGCTAACTGAGGATTTAAATATAGGTTTGTTCATAAATATAAATATGTCGTTATTATATGGATATATGCTTTTCCTTTTAATTTAACTAATAAAAGCTCTTATGAATATATCATATACGAAGGAGATAAAAGACAATCAAGAGCTAGCGCGATAATTTGTGCGGATATGTTTTATTACAATCAAATTACATTGATATTTTAACTACGTGGTAAACAAAATCACAAATGGCGTATGTTTCGATCTCTTTTTTTGGACCACCCTCAGCGTAATTACAAAGTATATGGAATATATTATATCAAAAATGTGATAGTAATAATACACAGAACAAGAGTGAGTCACCCATGTTGTCAGATGGTAAATGTTATATAATGTAATTTCGAGACAGTCCGATAAAATATACTATATTAAAAAATAATTGGCAATATAATTATATCGAACTTGAGTGAGTCAACCATGCTGTACAGAAGGCAAATGTTACACACGGATGTTCGAGACAGAATAAGACCTTTCTTTTTAAATTGAATTAAACATACAAAATTATTTTATAATAGATACATTTGAATATTTTTAGAATCGCTTTGCCTATCTTTAATTTTTTTTGAAGTTTATTTTAATTATGAATTATGATCAAATTGAGAACAACATTCAAAGATATAGACATTAAAACATAAATTTTTGCTCATTCAACTTCAGAAAATTTTGTTTAGAAACAAATATTTTATCATGTTTTAAAAAATTAATAAAAATTAAGGCTATTTAGAAAAATAAAAGAAAAGATATTTAAAATTATCAAAGTTTAATGAGGAAAAATATAAGAAAGCCATTTTATCTTTTAATAAAAAATAACATTTTGTAAATCAAATATACATCTGCCTGTAGAATAGAATGTAACTCGATTTATACTATTCCTATTGTTTTATTTATGAGCTACTTATCATTTAAATGATATTATAATAACATTAAAATGCAAAAATGTATGTTTAGGAGAGATTATCTTACCCAAAGGCGCTGATGTTGTCCTACAAATAATGACGGCACATCGAAACGAAAAGTATTGGCCCAATCCATTAGTATTTGATCCGGACAGATTCCATTCTGAAAAAATAGGATCGTCTAATTCGTCTTATATGCCCTTTAGTTTAGGACGCAGAAATTGTATGGGTAAGTATGAACAAATTACATTAAATGCAACATAAAACTGATTTGCATGTAATTGACAACCTTTTGCAGGTATAAAATATGGAATGATCTCAATGAAAGTTTTTCTAGCAACTTTGGTTCGAACATTCGAATTTAAAGTAGATAAAAACATTCAGATAAATGAAATTAAATTATATTTTGACTTCGTACTAAATACTTCTGAACCTATCAAAATCAGATTTGAAAAACGAAAACTACATTAAAATAATCGAGCAATATATTAAAAGATAATCTAATATTTTTTTAATAAGTATATTTCTGGACTGTTTTAATGTAGTTCTCATTTTTTGTTATATATTATGGTATATAGCAAAAAACGAGAACTACATTAAAACAGTCCAGGAATATACATGTTAAAAAATATTATTTAATATAGTATAAACGGGAAGGGGAAAAGTACATTAAAAATAAGCCGCAATTTATTTATAATGCGGTTGGTATTAAATGTTAGAGCTAACAAAATAGTGTTACAAATAATTGGAAAGAAGAATACATACATGTACTCGTATCTATAATTGTTTTATACAATATTTGAACGGTATTTAATAAATGCTTGTTAAAATGAGCGAGTAAAGTGTCCATGTTTCTGTAACGATAATTCCTTTCTAATTAATAAAATGGTTAAACTAAAAAAATTAGTATTTAATGTTTAGTTCAATAAAAAAATTATTTTTTAAATTAAATATGCTATTAAGCGACATCTTTCAAAGTAGAAAGAACAACAGTAAAGAATAAAAATTATTTCCGCCGCAAGACTATTAAGTTTGGTGGAAGGATAACTGGAATCACAGCTTGAAAACTTTTATTAAAAACTAATTAAATGATTATTAATGGTTTAAATTTTTAATTTACCTGAGCGTTAGAAATTAAAATTGTATCAGAGCGTTGTATTAAAGTGCAGACAGATTAATATAGAAAAATTATTTAATTACCGTAATTTATCTTTATCTATTATATTATCTTTTAGAAATAAGCTTACAATTAGTAAAAACAACTCGGTTTACATTTGAATTTGAATTTCCTAATTATGTGAGTGAGTTCGAACATCTGTGCAAAAATGAAAGTATTTCCTTTTATTTTGCTAACGCAACAATCATCTCTATTGATCAGGATTTTATCAGTAGTCCCTGGATTTCTTGCCTCAATTTCTTGAACACTCACCTCTAGAGCATCGAGAAGAGCGCCTTTAACAACCTTTCTAATTTGACTCAATTAATTCTTTTTAATAACGAAATCAATTGGAATAAACTCTTCGACTTTGGAGGTCACGAAAAATTAAAGATCCTTATTCTAAATAATGCATCATTTGTTGATGAGTACCATTATTGCCACTGGCGGATATCGGACATTTCTGAAGGCTATCCTAATTTAGAAATCTTTTCTGTCCGTAGAAATTATATCAATGATTTTCGAACTTCTCTAAACGAAACTCCACTCCCAAAACTGAAAATCCTAGATCTTTCCGGCAACAAAATAAAAAGTACCAGATTTGTAAAGTAGTTGCCAAATAGTTTACACTTTCTTGATCTCCACGATAATTTGCTCACTTCTTTGGCTTTTGATAAAAGACAAGTAAATTTATTGGCACTAAACTTGAATAACAATAATCTAAAATATTTGAAAAAGTACAATGATTCACATCATTTGTATAATCAGCACGACAGTATAATCGATATAATCAACATTGTGATAAAAAATATAATCAATATGATCAGTATAATTCGCAAAATCCGCAAAATTCTGGTCTAATGATGGCTGGTCTGGAAAATCTACATTATCTTTCCATTTCCGGAAACAACATTGATTTTATTGAATCAAACGCTTTCGAGGACATTAGCAAGTTAGTTTATTTGAACTTATCCGTAAATAAAATAATTTATTTGCATTCAGAGACATTTGAAAAATTGCAGTCTTTGAGATCGCTCGATTTGAGTTTCAACGAGCTCGAGGATGTTCCGCAGACCTCAAGTGAAACAATAATCAGCATTTTGTCTATTAATTGTAACAAAATTGTAAGAATATAATTTCAAACGCTTTCGTACAAATGCCAAAATTGACGAAATTGTTATTGAGGGGGGATCAGATCGACGAGATTAATGTTAAAGCATTTGCTTAGCTTTCGTTTTTAGAAATATTAGATCTGTCGAAGAACGAATTAAGTTTTTTACCGAAAGGATTAAGTGAATCTTTAAAATATTTAAATTTGAACGATAATCAGTTTACGTCGCTAGAATCTTTATCCCTGACAAATGTGTTACCATTAATGCAAGTGTATCTGGTGATGAATCCACTGGAATATTTAGATATTAGCTACTTCAAGAACTTGCCGCAGAATCTTACCGTGAATTTAATGCAGAGATCAAATTTTGTATACTGGAATTCCGACAGATGCGGGCCGAGAAAATAATTTTCTTATATATAATCATCATTATTATAATTATTAATAGTCATTTTATATTCATAATTTTTAGTTATTAATACCAATTAATCACGTTATATGTCTTTTTTTATAATTACGGATAAATATATGTTATAGAATAATAAGTAGAATAATATATATGTAAACAGGCAAAAAATAATCTATTAAAAAAATAATATGAAAAAATTTATTAAAACTTTATTCCGAATTTTAGAATATTTCCTGAGCATGTCTCTGTATAAACATTAAAAAATATTATTAAAAAATTTTCTAATAAGCGATAAAAATTTGATAAATCGGGGATGATCTAATTGATAAAACATAAGATAAATAATTCTAATTTTTACAATGTTTCTTTAATCTATTTCAGCTTTCATCATTTTTTAATATTCTTCTTGATACTATCTGATATTATTCTAATGAGATATTTAAAAGTTTGCATGAAAAATAACGAAATGACGTACATAAATTTTCATATTCTTCTATCATAAATTGTAAGTTTTTTATGTACGTGCAAACATTTTCTTTTTATGCATTTTACTATAAATATAGAAAAAGATAATGTTAAAATCTCTATAATAAAATAAGCTTTTTTAACAGAAAAAGGTTTTGACTTATTTTATTGAATATAATATTATAGTAAGACAATTTCTTGAGAAATATACGCTGTATCCGGAATAGACCTCCGGGGTTATATAAACGAGATAAAAAATTATCTATTTACGATTACTTTATCTATTCACGAATAAACATATGCATATTGATTATAGCATGTTTGTAGCTCAATCAATCACTATGCCGACTATGCTGAGCGATGTTATATCGGTTTAGTTTCTTTGTCAGAACTGGCATGACACCATAACTGCAGTATTCTAAGAGCAGTCGTGATGAAAAGTACATCCATAAAAGAAGCTAGCAACTAATTTGAACAATTTTGTGAAGAAAGCATTTTATTAACATGGTACGTTTAGTTTGCATACCTTGAAAAAGTTTTAAATAAATAAAACATTTTTTTATATATATTTTATATTGAAAAAAATGTATTTTTATATTCTTGTGCTATAACATATAATTTTTTTATCGTAATTATAATTATACAGATTTTCGTCATTAATATAGTATAATTTTATTTATTGTAATAATATTCAAAACCATCTTTTACTATATTTTTAAAAGACATTTTTTATTCTATATTTGCAGAGATCAGATATCATGAAGTTTTCTTTTACAATCATCATTTTTGTCTCATGGTCCACGCTAACAACAGCCAATGATATTCAAATCTCTTTGGAATTTCCTAACTATGTGAATGAGTTCGGACATCTGTGTAAAAATGAAATAATTTCCTTCAATTTTACTGATGCAAAGATAATCTCTATTGGTCGGAATTTTATCAGTAGTCCGTGGATTACTTGCCTCAATTTCACGAACACTCACCTCCAGAGTATCGAGAAGGGCGCCTTCAACAACCTGCCTAATTTGACTCAATTAATTCTTTCTAACAACGAAATCTACTGGGAAAAACTCTTCGACTTTGGAGGTCACAAAAACTTAAAGATCCTTATTCTGAATAATGCAATATCATCTAATAACTATTACGGCCATTCGTCAGACATTTCCGAAGACTATCCTAATTTAGAAATCTTGTCTGTTCGTAGAAATTATATCTATGACTTGCGAACTTCTATAAACGAAACTCCATTTCCAAAACTAAAGATTCTAGATCTTTCCGGCAACAACATAAAAAGTACCAATTTTGTAAAATTGCTGCCAAATAGTTTATACTTTCTTGACCTCCACGATAATGGGCTCACTTCTTTGGTTTTTAATAGAAAACAAGTGAACTTATTGGCATTAAATTTGGATAATAATATTCTGAAATATATGAAGAAGTATAATAATGATTCACGTGATCATTCGGATGGTTTATATTATAATCGACGTTATAACATGTATGATGAATCTGGTCAGGATATTTATTCACATAGTCTAGTGATGGCTGGCCTGGAAAATCTACATTATCTTTCCATTTGCGGAAACAACATTGGTTTTATTGAACCGAACACTTTCGAGGACATTAACAAGTTAGTCTATTTGAACTTATCCACAAATAAAATAACTTACTTATATTCGGAGACATTTAAAAAATTGCAATCTTTGAGAACGCTCGATTTAAATTTCAACAAGCTCGAGGATGTCCCACAGATTTCAAATGAAACAGTAATCAGTATTTTGTCTCTTAATTGTAACAATCCTAAAAATATAATTTCGAACGCTTTCATACAAATGCCGAAATTGACGAAATTGTTATTAAGAGGGAATCAGATCGAGGAGATTAATGTTAAAGCATTCGCTCACCTTTCGCTTTTAGAAATATTAGATCTGTCAAAGAACAAATTGAGTTTTCTACCGGAAGGATTCAGTGAATCTTTAACATCTTTAAAATATTTGAATGTGGAAAATAATCAATTTACTTCGTTAGAATCTTTATCTTTGACAAGTGTATCATCATCAATGGAGGTGTATGTGGCGATGAATCCACTTAAATATTTAAATGTTAACTACTTAAAGAGTTTGCCGCAGAATCTTACCGTGAATTTGGTGCAGACATCAAATTTTGCACACTGGAATTTTGATAGATGCTGAGGATCATAAAGCAACATATTATTAATGTTAAAGCATTTGCTCAGCTTTTTTAGAAATATTAGATCTGTCGAAGAACGAATTAAGTTTTTTACCGGAAAGATATTGAATAAATCTTTTTTTTAAATATTTGAATTTGAAAAATAATCTCGGTTTACTTGGCTAGAATCTTTAATTATCTCTGATAAATATGTCAGTATTAATGGAGATGTATCTAGCGATGAATCCACTGGAATATTTAAATGTTAACTATTTTTTACTCAAAAGCTTGCCGCGCAGAACCTTATTTGAATTTGGTGCAATTAAGGATCAAGTTTTGCACATTTGGAATTCCGATAGATGCAAGGCGAAATACTTTAATTATTACAATGTAATAAATATGTCATTTTTTGTAAATTCAACATTTTTACATAAAACTTTTTTTATAAAAAGGCTTACAAAAATCCGGCGTCTCTATAAAAAGATGAAATTTTTTTTGAAAATAGGTTGAAGAGGCTGTGACAGATATACAAAAATATGTTTCTATGTTTGAAATAAGAGAATTGTAATAATAAATTTTCCACATTCTGTAGCATCGAAAATTGAATATATATATATATATATATAGGACATCCTTGTGCTGTCTGGGTATGTTATAGAATAATAAAAGTAATGTAAACAGGAAAAAATAATCTATTAAAGAAATAATATAAGAAAAATTTATTAAAACTTTGTCCCGAATTTTAGAATATTTCCTGATGTCTCTGTATAAATATTAGGAAATATTTTCAAAAAAATTTCTTTTAAGCTACAAAAATTAGAAGATATATGATCTAATTGATAAAATATGAGATAGATAATTCTAGTTTTTTCAAACAAATATATAAAAAAATTCTATATTATAATTTTATTTGTTTTATGAATCAAAATTCATCAATGTAAATAATATTCTCCTGCATTTAAGGCAAAATATACAACGCTTGATACACACGTGTCTTTCGTGTAATCAGAGTCAGTAGTCAGTAGTCAGTTTGGAGTAGCTATCGCACGTGCGTATACTATTTGAGGTTAAGATTGATTATTTGACAAACATTAGTGCTATAATTTGTATATTTTCATGCAAGAAATGCAAAACAAAGTCTGATTTCTTAAATTCGAAGATACTTATCGATATCCCAGCGTTAACGTCTCACAAATGTACTGTGAAATGAATGCTCGTACTTTATTAAGATTATGTTCCGCTATCAATCGCGTTGATTTTGATAAGACACGTAGATTTTACTGTAGCAAGAATATATTAAAGCTTCACGAAAGAGGCATGTACGAAGATATATTTCCCAATACCAGTACGTAAGTATATTTTCAAGTCATTTCGTAAAATAAAAAAAATAAAAAATGCAGTCCTATATAAATTGTAATAAAGCAATATTAAATTATAATATAAATTTTATATAAAATTGCATTTTTTTTATATCTCGTGACATTCACAAATATATTATTTATATAATTGTACATATATATCTTTTCCTCAGGAATAAAATATTAGATTTATTAAACAAGTCACCACAATGCGTCTATGCTGGCTTTGATCCAACGGCAGACAGTTTACACATTGGTAATTTACTCATTCTAATGAATCTCTTGCACTGGCAAAGAGCGGGGCATCAAGTTATAGCCCTGGTAGGAGGAGCTACTGGTTTAATAGGCGATCCTAGTCACAGAAAGAAAGAACGGGTTGAGATGGAAGAATTTCTAATTAAGGAGAATTTGAAATCTATTACAAAGAATATAGAGATTATATTTAATAATCATCAGATTTATTTTTGGAAAAACAAGCAAAAGAATCTGAAACCGCTGATCATAGTAAATAATTTGGACTGGTATACAAATTTAAACGTCATCGAGTTTGTCAGAAGCATCGGGAAATATTTTAGAATGGGCACAATGCTGGGCAGGTCCTCTGTCCAGTCGCGATTAAATTCTGAGACGGGGATGAGTTTCACTGAATTCACTTATCAAGTATTCCAAGCGTACGATTGGTTTCAGTTGATGAAGAAATATAATTGTCGCTTCCAAATCGGCGGAAGTGATCAAATGGGTAATATTATGTCTGGATATGATTTGATCACGAAAACCGGAAAAGCAGAGGTTTACGGTATAACGTTACCGCTCATAACAGCCGAAGGTGGAAAGAAATTTGGGAAATCTCTTTTGAACGCAGTATGGTTGTCTTCAACAAAATCTTCGAGCTTTCAGTTGTATCAGTATTTTATTAGGACTAAAGATTCTGACATTGAAAAGTTCTTAAAATTGTTTACATTTATACCATTAAATAAAATTACTGAGATTGTGACTGATCATATGAAAAATCCAGAAGATAGAAGAGCACAAAAATTATTGGCAGAGCAAGTTACACTCTTAGTACATGGAGGTAAGTTTGATAAAAGAAGACTATTTTTATATATTATCTATTATCATTTACTACGATTTTTCTTACAGAGGATGGATTATTGGCTGCAAAGCGCGCATCTGCAGCGTTGTATGATCAATCGATCGAATCTTTTGTGAAAATGAATGCATCGGAATTGGCAGATGTGTTTGAATACGCAACCATAGTGGATATCTTGTCCGAACCGGGACTCACTGTATACGAACTAGCAAAGAAAGCAAAATGTTTCAAGACCGATCATGATGCGCAACGGATTATAGAGGCAGGCGGATTCTATGTAAATCATCAAAGAATCACTAATTTAAATGAAGTGGTTGTACCTGGCATCCATATACTAAGTAATAATCTATCGTTACTTAGAGTTGGCAAAAAAACGTATCATATAATCCGATGGCAATGATGATATTACAAAAGATGCATATGTACAAATGTATAATAAATAGAATACTTTAGTATTTAAAATATAATGTAATAGTGATCGTAAAAAAATTCAGCAATCTTTTCCTTTGTATCATCGTGAAAGATACATTTATGAGAAAAGATAACTTCCTTAAAATAATCATATATAAGTATATATACAATATAAAAAAAAATTTATATTTTTTTCATATAAATATGCAATTTATATATACATATACACATTTTTAATTCCTAATTATATATGTCCCACATCGATATACAGCCATCTTTGCCAGTGGCTGCCATTAAATACTTGGTATCATATGCCTCGACTTCACGTTGCGAGTAAACAATATCGTATATACTCTCTTTGTGTTCTCTTAATATCGCAAGTGGCCGCAATTTTTTCCAAGAAAACAATCTGATACATCCATCCCAGCAGCCAGCTGTGACAAATTTTTTATCTGGTCTCACAGAAAGAACAGATACTCCAGAAACATGCTCCAATAGTATTGTAGATTTGTGGGATAATGTATGATTTGGCAATATTTTAAAAATCTAAAAATTTATAAATATAATCTATCCACACTTGTGTGTGATCTCTTTTTTACACATGTTACTAATTTTTGTAATACCTCCAACTTATCTGATGCACTACCAAGGATGCCTTGCATCAAAGAAATATCGAAATCAAAGGTCATCGGATATTGCTCCACAGTGAGAGAGCTGAGAACATCATTTTTTTTCATGTCCCACAATAATAATTGTCCACCTTCATAAGCGACTAAAACCAAATCGTTTATATCCAATGGTTTCATCGCCATTATTGTACCCAATTTGTCATTGTAGGATAGTTTGGATGGATCTAATGTCGATTCAATATTAAACGTTTTCAGTGATAATACTCCTACCACTGAAGAATCAAGTGGAACTAATATCGCATTCTTTTCAGGCAACAATTGAGATCTATAACGCAAAGTTTTAGTATCAAGTTTTAGTATCGACAAACTTTCACAACGTTTGTTAATATACCTGCCTGCAAAAACTGCAATATTTATAATCAATGTTCTTATTCAATATCCAATTGGATTCATTTGCTTTATATACATCAACTACGCCGTGTCTTCGTTGAACTATTAAATCAGCCTGATTAGTTCTATGTAAGTTAAAACAGGGGCTGTCTCCATCTGATAATTGACTTTTTATCCTGTTTGTCTATAATATACAGGAAAAAAAAAATTGATTATAATTAATGCTTTTTTTAAACAAATGTCAACATCTTTCATTCCTTATCTATATTTATATTAAAAATATCTTCTCGTAAATGAATAAGTCGTAATTATTTAAATTCAATTATTAAAACTAATGGAAAAACAGAATTCACTGAAAAGAGAAATATTTACTTTCAAATCCCAAATATGAACCGTGCCTTTTCCATCGCCAGCATAAAGATGCTCTACATCAGAATCAATCCAGAATAGCAAACTATGTACATTTTCATCCATATCACCGCGCAATAGAAATTTAGGATCCGGAGGTGCAGACATTTTGCAGTCTTATTTCTCTTCTTTAAAATATCAAAATATGAGAGATTATCATGTAAACAACGACAACGTGATAAAGCACCGAATCTATAATAGGTTATTCTGGATCATTGTTTCGATCAGGGATGGGAGAGAGAGGGAACACCAAAAGAATTCTGATTCTGATTTAATTCTGTGAATTATTGTATTGAAATAAGATAAAAGATCGATTCTTAATAATAATAATAATATAATAATAATCGAAACTGTCATTCAATCCACACATGAAACACTGTGACATGGAATGGCTCGAACTGTCAAACAACTGTCAAATCTGATAAAAAAGGACGACGTATATATCTCCGATAATTTTCATGATGCAATAAGTGCTTCAACGATGAGTGTGTATTTCGTTGAAAATAGCTTTGTGTCAAATGTGAAAATACTTTATTAACCAAATTGTTTCTTCTAATATTATATTTAATAGCAAAGGAAAATATGTCATTCAACATCAAAGAGATGCAAGATTTATACTTTTTTAATGTCGCAATATTGGCGATCATTATTTTACTTATCGCATTTATTATAATTGTCTTTAATAGGTAAATATCACTTATGTTTTACTCAATAATATATATTATGAATTACATATATGAGAGAAGAGAGAGAAATCACTTTCTAATTACTCTAATTTTTTCACAGCATTCTATGGGTGTTTATTGTGGCCAGTATTTATGCGATTAGTAGTTTTTATGCTGTTCGATTAGTACAGTGCATTGATAATTTATTAGTGAGATTTAATATTACAAATGACAAATTTATTGCAAAATTTGAAATTAAGGATTCATGCAGCGTTTGTAGCAATAACATCTGCAAAAGACACAAGTTATTGCCACATTCGACAAAGATTAAAGTACCGAAGGATTTTGACCATACGTTAGAACAGGTAATTACAATCATTAATAAGAAAACCATTATATTTTGCAATTTACATATTGCATACTTTATTTATATATGTTGCTAATATGTACAAAAACCTATTAATTTCTAGCTTTTAGAAGAAGTACTACAAATTTATGTCTGCACATGGTATTCTGATTTATCGACGAATGAAGCTTTTATACAACAATTACGTTTAGCTATAACGACAGCGGCGAAAAATATCGCTATTCGATTATTACGTGCGGATACAGCGAGCATCACGTTCACCGATCTGATTCCCTTGGCCATACAACACGCTCAAGATTGGGATGCACTTCTCAAAAAGTCAAGATTGGATGTTAAGATGCCCCAAGATTATGTCGAGAGTTATCTGAGTTCTAAGATTCATCCAGCTGCTTACTCAAGAGAAGCCGAATTAAATTATTTGCGAGGATTAACCACTGCATTGCTGCCACATTTGTTACCTACCATACATGTCTCAACAAATAACCAAGTATAATGAATTATTTTGAGATTTATTTTTATACATGAATTATTTAAGTTTATATTTAGAGAGAAAGAGAGAGAGAGAAGAGAGAGGTGTGACAACTGATTATAATACTTTATACGTTTCTTTCAATTTATATATATTTCTAGGTGATGCTTCGGGAAATTTTGGCCAATTGGGTGCTACTACCAGCTATTGACGCACTTGCAGATCCAGAAAATATAAATATGTTGGTAACATTATCCACTCACCGTGATACCTCTTTATCTAATGCAGTGAAGACTATTAATGTACCAATGCTGCAATCTTGGGTGACGGCAATGCATTCACATACCATCACACACAATTGTTTCAAACCATCTCTGAATGAAGTCTTGAGCGATCCTGAACTGTTATATATGTTTATGCAGCACATTAAAGAATCCGGACCCATGAACCTTCTTCAGTTTTGTTTAGATATTGGTATATACAATTCTTTTGATGTGTTATGTTACAAATTTTACAGATAATATTTATAATTTATATCGTCTACTGTTCTTTAGATGATCTCAGTAAACGTATGTTGAATCCGGAAATGTCATCTAGCGCTGAAAAAAGCTTATACATAGATGTTCGAAATTTGTACACAATATATCTTGATCCTGATGGCCCAGAATATCTGTATTTGCCATTACATATATCGAAAGGCATACGAGAAAGTGCGTAATTCGTTTGACTGTGAATAATTTCGATTTAAGTAGTAGATGGATACATATATGCGTTTATTTCTCTAGTATTGGAAGGTGGACCAGAAAAAATCCAAGAGCTACGAACGTCACGACCTTTCTATGAAGCTCATCAAGAAGCACACGCGTTTTTAGAAAGTACTTGTCTGCCATCATTCCATCATAGCTATCAGGTAAATACATATTTCGTGATTTATTTTCATCTATTTCCCATATTATTGTTAACTGGTCTTTTGAATATTTAATCTTCAATATTTAGGAAATTAATGAAATTTTGTATTTAAGAAACAATCTTCGTGTTCTAGTTATATAAACTTCTGTGTGGTCATTTAGTGTCCGAACAAGCAAAAGCCACTGCAGCCAAGTAAGTATATTCCTAAGTAGACATATATATTTTTAATCAAGTTTGAATCTCTCAAAAATATCATTTTTCGATTTTAATGTCATACTGTGTCATCTGGTTTATAATTTATACATATTTTACGATATTGTACTGTTTGTAATTCTATATAGTTATTATAATATTATATTATAATAACTATATAGAGTTATTTTAATATAATGTTATAATTTATAGTGAAAATAATAGAAAATGAAACCATGATTTTCTAATGATATTTTCCTGAAAACACAAATGAAAATAAGATAATCACATTCTAAAATTGTTGAACATAGTTTACGTGCGTTAGCTTTTATAATAAAATTTTTAAATTTATAGTGATTCATATAAGCACACGCATATATTTATTCATTTGTAATTAGTGCAAGCGGAGGAGCATCTATCTCTGCGCGGTCCAGCAATCAATTGGGCAGAATGGATGGTGTTTCACGATCAACGATCGACGGTACCCCGTTTTTACTGCAACATGTCTATCCGGTCGAGGAGGTAGATTGTACGGCTCGAGCGTACAACGAGATCAAGAGCTTCGGCGATAAGTCTCATCGCGACTTAACGACGTGGCGAGTCACCATCCCGCACGTGGACGGCGGCGGTACACAACCAGTGTACATGATCGCTGTTCATAGCGTGGCAGAGGCCAAGTCGTGGACGGTCTTGCGTCAGGATCAAGATTTCTACACGCTGCGGACGCGACTCGCCGAGTTCCACGGCGACAAGGAGCTGAACGACTCGCCGTTATCGACGCGCAAGAATCCTCATTTGCCCCTTGCAGCAAACCGTCAACGTTATGAAGAGTTTCTGCAGAGATTGCTGTCTAAGCCGATGTTGAGGAGCAGCGAGCTCCTCTACACCTTCCTCACGACGCCGAACTTGAAGCCGTACTTCGCCAACTATAGTACACCCGACATCGGTATCCTCTATCAGAGCATGACCTACAAACTGCGAAAGGAAAAGGGGCAACACCTCGACAAGTTTATGAGTACTTTTCTGGCGTCCACGAATACAAAGTACGAGCATATGGATATGGGTGTTGAACCATTGAGCGAGCACAATCTCGACGAGGCGGAAAGCAAAGGTAGAAATCTGCTGAACGGAGTATTCGGCAATAACTTGAATCTACCTGTCACCTTGCAAAATGTTCCATGCAACTTACCGCAACGTGATTATGTAAAAGGGGCAAGTCTATGCGTCGTGGAGGCTGGTAAGTTTAAATATTTTTTACGTCTGCATACAAAAGACAGATAACTTCAATGATGAAATTATTATTACAGTGGATGGTCTACTAGATATACCTTCGATTATTTCGCGATTCCTCTGGATGTTTGCCTCTTTATCGCGTAAAAGGATGGACCCAATTGTAAACACATTGTTCTACAACATGTTGATCAAGCTTTTGGGTGGTGGCCGTGCCTCTATCGTCGTCAAACTTTTACATGCGAAAATAATAGGCAGAAATTACATGAAGGACTTCTCCTCACAAGCAAGATGTCGAGATTATTACGAAACCGCCAAAGAAGGGCTGTACTCCTTGTTACCATGGTGGTTAGTGGCATTCTCCAAGCCTTGGAACAGTTTGATGGATTCCCTATTAGATCCTTTACAAAATGCGCCGTTTAATAAACATCTGGCATATTTTCTGCTGGATCATCTCTTGGTAAATCTTTTCCCGGAATTAACAGCGTAATATCCTTCGGCAAAAACGAACAGTTGTATATATAATTCTAATAAAACAACACACACACACACACACACAAAATATTTCTTGTGTATAAGTGTATATAATATTAAGTAAAAATTATTCCTATTGAGATATATAGGATCTTTTATATCTTTGAAAAAATGAGCAAACATCTTTATGCAACGAAAAGAATAATAGCGTGATAATTATAATATAAATAACAATATACATAAATAATAAAAATAATAAAATAAT